ATTGTATAGTCAGCTGGTACTTTGCTTTGAATTTTATTGCATAAGATCAGGAAAAAAACAAAACAAAACAAACCCTTCCACTCCTGCTAAACTCCCAATTCTACCCAAATCTTCATCTGTATTTTCTGCCTTTCTTCCTGTTTCAACAGACGACAAGTTTCTGTACCTACAGCCGATCACACTAAGTATGCCCTAAAGGTCACCTCTGATCACGTACCTAAAGCCTCCTTGCTCATGCACTGTCTGTTCTTCTTTCTGCAGGTACAATTCTCCTCATAAATACTAAATATTTCTCATTAGCATACAGACATGCTGAGACATATATCATTTGTACAAAAGCTAAAATAAAAATCTGAAGGCTGTATTTTCAGGGATCATTTCTATAGTAGGTTACTGGAAAAGTCTCTCTGATCATGTACATTACTAAAATAAAATCCTCCTCTGATCCTGCTATCTCACTCCTGCTTCCATTTCATCTTTCTGCTTTTTTAGAACAAACACCCAAAGAATTACCTATATTTTTTCTTTCCAAATATAGCTAAGTCTGTAAAACCTGATCCTTTATTCCCTGCAAGCAAGCTTTCATCTCCACTGCACTCATACAACTGCTCTTATGAAGTTTACCAATGACTTCATATTGCCAATGGCCAAGCAAGCTTTCATCTCCACTGCACTCATACAACTGCTCTTATGAAGTTTACCAATGACTTCATATTGCCAATGGCCAATTTTTCCTGACCTATTGGTAGCACCAGGTATAGCTGCACAACTCCCTTGATGAAATGATTTATTTATTTAACCTCTGGACAGTGCTGTATTGGTTCTTTCCTTCCCTCTCTTGCTGCTGTCTCCAACTCCCTTGCTGAGTCATCGTTGTCTTTCTGTTTTTCAGCACTAGAGGGGCAAAGACTCAGTCCTCCAATCCCTTACTATCTACTTCTTATCTTTTTTTTTTTTTTTTGTTAACAGGGCTCACACTCAGGACTCTTGCCAGGCAAGCACTTATGCCACTGAGCTATCTCCGCAGCCCCTTTTTATCTACTTCTAAGGACTAACTTTAAGAAAATACATTTTATCTCTATTAATCAAACTCCAGAATTATTTATACAACTCTACTGAGCATCTCCACTAACACCACATAACAATTACTTCAACTTAGCATTCTAAAAGAAAAAAAAAAGAAAAAAGAAACACTCTACTCCCTCAGCAAATCTTGACAACCTTTCAAAACATGTTCAGAATCCAGTTCCTACTCACCACTTTCTCTGCTAACGCCCTTACTCAAAGCACCATCCCCTCTCATGTGGACTTTGGTAGCCAGTCCTCTAATGCTCTGCATCTGCTCTGGGTCCTTCCAGTTTATTTTCCACACATGGCCAAAATGCTCCTTCAAAACACAAATCATCTCAACACTCCTCTGCTCAAAGCCTCCACTGGCTTCCCACTTCACACTAAATTCTAATCTTATCATTCACAATGCCCAACCTAATCTGTTGTCACTCTGCATGTTCTTCAACTGCTCTTCCTCTTGTTCACTCCTGCTCAGTGACATGGCTCTCCATGCTGTGTCCTGGATATGTGACGCATTCTTTTATCCCATACCCTTCTACTTCCTGGTTTCTTCTTTCTTAGAATGTTATTCCTCCAGATTTGCATGGCTTGCTCCTTCATAACTTTCAAATATTTGGTTAAATTCACCTCAAGCAAGTTTTCCCATCATTCTGTCTAAAATAGTAGCACTCTGTCATTATTTTCTGCCTTCTTACTCTGGTTTTCCTGTCATTACCCAAAAATATAGGTATCTGTGTGAGTATTCCTTTTTCATACTATAATACAAGCTCACCAGGAGCTTTGTTTGGTTAGCATTTACCACAGTCTTACACAGAGTAGGTGCTCAAGTATTCAGTGAATAAATATATATGGGATGAATATTATTATGCAGGAAAAACATTCACCCAAATCAGATTTTTTTTTAATTTTCTTAAAAGCAAGAAATGAAACCAACTCTGCAAGAGTCATACATGATTCTCCAGATCTTTCTAGAAAATGTCATATTTTCATCACATGTATCATAACAATCAAACAGCCTGGCAACAGTGTAAACACACTGGGGTAAAGTCATCACTTATTGCTGATTACAGTGATTTCATTTTTAAAGCTGAAAGGCAATTTTTAAATGACTAAATGAGAAAGCAAGCAACAGGTAAGAAAGAAAGAAAACCCTAACCTACAATAAATCAAAATACAATTTTTAAAAATTTACCACCAAGTCCCTTCTCTAAGCTGAAAGCACTTACTATACATATATATTTTAAAAACTAACTTGCTGGGATCTGCTCCTTTAAAGTAGGCATTCACGGATTCTGTAAGGGCAATTGCCACAGGTAACGTGTCCTGATTTCCAAGGCTGACAGGGCTGGGACCTCGTGACACACCTAGAATGCATACAATTCATTTGTTAAATCCTTTAGAAAGATAGATATTAAACACAAAAACAGGTTCATGTTGTTAGGTTGTTACAAATGTCTCTATTACTAGTTTCAAATAGTATGACCTGAGTAGAAACCCAGAGATTAATAGGTACAGCATAGAACAAATTGAAACATACAGGGAAACAGAAATGAGGATGTATCATACTGATTTAAATGGAAAGACACAGCATGGTTAAGGAATATCAGAAGGAAAACGCCTTTAGAGTTAAAATTACTACTATGACTTTCAAAACTTTCAAATGCCAAATT